CTTGTGATCGTAAAAGACGACTTAATGGATAAGCTGGTCATTTATTTGATTGCATGTCATCATACCTAATGGCATGGGTCGCTACTGACAATATCGGTCACTGGGCTGACCAGTTCAGGTTTCCTGATACATTGCTGTATGGGGCGCTAGACAACAAACGGACAAATGATGTGGACAAAATTGCATGTCGTGAGGCATGGTATCCATAAACTATACTAATGGGGTAGCCTCATTGTCGAGATCGATGCTCATGTTGTTGATCACTGGATTGTCTGGTCCAGGCTCGATTATTTACAGACCGCCGCCATATAGCTGGAATATTGCTGAGTGCGGCGTAAAACTAAACTCACTCACTCACTCATTGTTGAGATATTCACACCCAAGACCCAGGTTTGATATTCGCATGGGTGCAATGTGTGACGCCAATTTCTGGTGTCCCCTGCTGTGATATTGTTTGAATATTGCTAAATGCTGGCATAAAACCATATTCACTTGCTGTTTCAATAAATAGCTGGCAAGGTGTTGCAATGGGAGACTTAACCCCCCTGGCTGCCGAGTTTTTTTTACAGGCGCACATTTTCATACGCTTTGAAAAGTGAACGTTGTGCGAGAATTGCTCTCGCGTGGTCCTGGATCTACGTAAGGCTATAAAATTACACAGAAATGTAGAATATTAAATTCCCTATCCGTTGGTATAAATATAAGTGCAACTACCTCGGCGGTTTGAGAAATAGACCTTGCTAAATGTTGTCCAAATTTTTGTTATGCGTTAAAAAGCAGTAAATTTCTCCGCTTTTTATCGCGCACCGATCAAAGCACTGTGCTACGAATTTTTTAATGGGGCATCTTTACGGAATGTGTGAGCGAAGAAAATACAGCCTGATATCTGAACGACATAAGTGTATATGAATTGGGTTTATGTGATTGTGCTTAACGTTATACGCTCAACATTAAAAATGACTCGCAATAAATGTCAAAAATGGATTTTCTTCTATGACGTCAAACGACGACAGAGAGGTCATACACGTATAATGATAAGGGGGGCATAACTCCGTTATGCGTAACACTAGGTCAATGTACCTCATATCACTTGTAGAGAATTTGTTGTGGATACGGACGCTATATTATCGTTATTTTATATTCATGGTGAACCACACTATTCCAATTCAAAGTTCCCCAATGTGAACGGATGCGCTTTGGTAGTTTCACAATTTATAAGAAAAGATGACAACGTATTACATGTGAAAGCACGTAATAGCGATTTGAATGGCCCTATCCGATATATAAGTTAGTTCTTAGATTCCCATATTCTCCTGTTTGTGTAGATGTAATTTGACTAATTTTGCATCGTTATTACCAGAGTACTAGCCATATCTTCAAATGTAACGAAAAAGCTGAAAATAATACAACTTTTTAGTTGACGTCATCGCTTGTTTTATGCATTTTGCGACGTCAGAAAAAGACGATATTGGTATGCTGATTAGTATACATCTCACTTAATTTCCATTAATTGTATCAAAGGTCTAGACTTCTATGTCAGAATTTAACACTCTTTAGACAAAACATAAAATGACTGATGTTTCCATTTAAATAGTGTCCTGAATATATCAACAATTAGACAGTTTGACAGCGTATCTTATTGTGAAAAACACGCACACCTGTTTGGCATCAATTTAACGTAAATAAAAATAATATTTCCCAACACCCGAATATTTTGTTCGGGATAAGAATTTTGTTTGTTTATGATTATGAACTATTTCTCTTCATACGTTTGCAATGAAAGATGCATAAGGATAGCTTTTTATATATGGAACTATATATCAGAATATGGATATAAGATTTGTCCGAATTAACACGAGATGGTATATATATTTTTCCACAATTTTCCTATAAGTAATTAGAGTTTGATATCCTGTCATCACAATATTATTTAATTGAATATGAATTGAATATATTATCGAAAACAGTGATAGAGAATCATAAAACGTTTCGAACAAACGCGCACCTTGCCGATCTATATGCATCATTCTTTTGTTTATAAAACGACACAAAATTATGCAATGAACAAGACAATTCCTTTAAATATGTGTGCATATACATTTCATACCATATATAAATCATTGTCATTAATATTATCAGTTTTGCATATAAGGTTGAATTATATCACCGTTCATTAACCTGTTCATATGAAATTGCAATATTAGTCCAAATAAATTGAATATTGTACATCATAGGAACTAAAGTAGATGCAGTTATGGCTACGTTTGATCTTCTAACATTTGTGTAAAGGTTTCGAATATGGTGTATTGCACTAAATATGTCAATTTCTTATGTAAATATGATTCAAACAATCAAAAACTTTCAAAGAATATAACACCGTAAACCCTATATGCACGTATGATATGATATTGAACAAGGCTAAATGTAGATACTGGAGTCAGTTTCATGAAAAGGTATCTGAACTAATACGCAAAATATACACCATAATACTGACAGTGTAATCGGAAGGATATGGCGATTGTGTTTACTCTTGTTCAACCGACCTTCACCTCAAAGAAATTGCCTAATATGTAGAACAATGTTGACGTATGACATCACTACCGCTGACCGATTTCTTACAAAATGGCGGCTTTGCTGACAAGGGTACACAGGATTTTGCGAGGACCCTTCCATTGATTCAGGGATCGTTTGTACATAAATATGACATGTAAGTAATCAGAATGATTCTGACTATCTGTGTATTGTTATATGTTTTTATCGCTTTCACTATAAGTAAGAGAAAAGGCCAGAAATGCAGATAATTACCGCTGTCGCTTTCGCGATTTGGCGCCAGTCATGGCGCCACGCTTGCACGGAAACTTTGACAATTTCTTATGAACTATCAAATCATTGCATTGTATCTATTTATAATTTCCTATTTCTTGCTACGATATTCTTTCCATGCATATTCCAAAGGTATTGAGCCATTGCAAGCAATGAATAGACGGATGAATGTTGAAAAATTTCAGAAAATGCTACGCAGTGTAAAAATCGAATTTGTCTTTGTTTACATTTCAGACTAACGCAGTCTTTCAAGCACAGCGCCGCTTTTTCACACCCAATATGTTTCGTCTCATTTTATCTAGACAGTTATCATTGGTGACACATATCAGTTGCAATTTGATTCTAAAATGTATGGGAATTCAGTGATGCATGTTTCAAGCTGAATATGAAATATACGCTATGTAATAGGCGCCTCAATACCGGCCTTCGCGAAACGTGATTTTGTAAACACTATCCAATATGGCGGAAAGCGCTCGGTGTTCGTGTAAGTGCATTTTCGAAAACATCCCAACCGATTCTAGGTTCATCGGCAACGCTTTCAGAATTATAATTAGCGATTTCATGTAAACTGATATCAGTGATCATAAATATGTTATTTTTGAAATTCAATACTCCCAATAATTATCCGATTTTCACATTTCAAAACATACAGCAAATAACGCTGTGAATCGCGATTTCGTACTGTGTCAAAAATGGCGACATTTTCGATGAAGCCAATTTTGAAAGGTCATTTTCAGCACTTGAGCTTTGTCTAAAATACTAGTGGGTGTTACCAAGAAACAGGAAATTTCCCGCAGAATTCGAAACTGTGAAGTGTATTTGTGTGCGTGGGATATTTTGATTTTTATTGGACTTCAAATTGAGGGTTGAAGGGGAAGGACATATATGTCCCTGTGGCATCCAGGGGGTTAATCAATAAACATTAAGTTGTTTATTTGATTTGAGAATTGTATACTCATAATGGATATGGCTGAAGGCATGTTGGTCTCCATGGCTGAGTTAATCTTTTAGATTGTAAATGTGTCTGTATTTGAAGTTGATTGTGGGGTGAAATTAATACCAGTCCCAATCATTTTAAACCTGATTTGACCAAACGTTTGAATAGTATCAGCAAACTTTAGGCTGAGGAAGGTTGCTGGGGATATATTTCTTGCAGCACTTGTATTTTGTTTGTTTGCTGGTTGTCAGAAACAATACAATGAGTTGTTGCCTGTATGAAAGAGGAAATATTTGGTAATTGTTAAGTGAAGGTGTGGTTGAGGTAGGAAAATCTATGAATATGTTCAAATTCATCAATAGTAATGTCAGATCTGTCCACTTGTTCAGGGGCTGTGGGGGTAGCCTTGTGGTTAAAGCATTCGCTCATCACGTCGAAGACACGGGTTCGATTCCCCACATGGGTGTAATGTGTGAAACCTATTTCTGGTGTCCCCCGCCGTGATATTGCTGGTATGTTGCTAAAGCTGCATAAAACTAAACTCACTCACTCACTCCCCTTGTTGAAACGTACACAGTTCCACCAACTGTCCATCTCTGCATATTTGGGTAGCCTAGTGGTTAAAGCGTTTGCTCGTCGCGCCAAAGGCCCGGGTTTGATTCCCCACATGGGTACAATTTGTGAAGCTCATTTCGGGTTTCCCCTGCCGTGATATTGCTGGAATATTGCTACAAACGGCATAAAACCATACTGTCAATCAGTGCATATGTGTTGCTGTGTGTTAGTGTACAGTGAAACTCAGGACAGTATCTAATGATGTACAGTCGAGCACCGTTGTCTCAATATTCATGGGACCAAGAAAAAATATCAAAACATCTGACTGGGGCATATCATCACATGTCACTATGAAAGAAACAAAGCGCTTTTCAGTATGTTAATCCGTTATTTGTAGTGTTTGGTTGTAACAGTGAGTACTTCCTTATTAATTCCTTCTTAATTAATCCTCATTAATAATAAACAAGTGACACCTTCAACTCAATTAGCCATAATTAGTTTACACTACCGCATGGTGTGGAAACAACCTTAGTTCAGAGGGATACTTGCCCATGAAAGGTAGGTGAATATCGAGTTTCTTTGCAAATATCGAGTGTAAATGGGTAATTTGGCTTGTTGGGACCATGAAATTATATCGAGATATCCAAAATATCGAGACATCCGTATCGAGTTGAATAATGATAAATTATGGAGGATTTTGCCGGACCGAGATGTTATATCGAGACAACCGAGATATCGAGTTATCAGAGTTTGACACAACGGTGCTCAACTGTAGTTTGTAGTGCTTCTGCCTGAAGGATTGAAAGTAGGTGGTTGAACCCTGGCCAGATGATACCAAGAGCTGTTCAAAGATGTTGCGTGCTGGTATCTTGTCTTGGATTTTAATGGGTCAAGATATCCCGGAGTCAGTATAAAGTGTAGGGGGTCTGTGTTAATCTGCAGCATGGTGTCTCGCTTTGGTCAGGACCAGTACAATACTGTCACATGCACTCACACGCAGACGTATGCACGCATGGAATGCCTGTCACATTTATGTCACATATCGCACATACAATTGCTATAATCTTGAACATGATTTCATCCCCTCAGGCCCCCCAAAAAGAAAAAATGTTGTGGTTCCGATTAGACCTCTGAAATTTAGGGTAGGTAGGTAGGATTATTTACATTTTTTTTACTTTTGTTTTAGAAGTTAAGTACAAATTAATAATACATTTATCAATGTGTAATTGTTTATTCAATCAAGCTTGCCGCCATCATGTTTACTTTCTGTATCAGAATGACCAATGTCCGTCGGTGCCGGGGGGAAAAACAATGGTATCTGAAAGCTTATTTATGCCGCCTAAAAAAGATAGGGTCGGCACCAGAATTCAAGGGTCGGTCAGGTAATCGGAACCACGACTTCTTTTTTTAGGCCTCACCCCTCTTTCTCCTTTTCAAGGTGATGACTTAATCTAGCTTCATAACCCAGTTAGAGCTGCAAGCTATTGTACCATATTGTAGTCTGAATCCTCTGCCTTGACTGCGTGCATACCTCCTTCTATCAGTTGTTGATGGGAATGAGTGCAGCTACGACATCCTACCCCCCTATAACACAGAGATACCACTCCCTTATATCATGTTTTTTCGTTTAGAGGTGCCTGTAGCAATTAACAATCCAATTGTATACTATTACTGTGAAGGCAACTGTAGTTACCCACAGCAGTAGAGAGACAGTGTGTGAGGGTAACCCTGGTGGTGTTGGGTGCTGACAGTATAAATATACACTCTGGCACTAGGCTACCACCGTTCCAGCTGTAGGTACACAGTGTCTGATCTAGCCGTCTTCCTCCAGACAGGTGCTTGGTATAAACAGAATACACAAACAGGTTGTCTTGTAGTTGCTTATCTAGGTCTCCTGTTACTGGCATGGGTAGATGCTAAATGTACTGCGTTACAGGGTAGACATTGGCTATTACTAAATCTGTTGCATTATATCTCAAAAATGTATTTAATACCTGGTCCCACACATGACCCAATTGCATTCTGACATGTAGTTGTAGAATATGCCACAGGGGAAGGTACAGTTTTTGTTGTTGTTTTTTTTTATTTGGGGTGAGGGTTGCACACTCATTTTCACCCGTTTTCAATGGTCATTTAATAACTTTCAGGACAAAAGGGTGGGTGCGCACCCCTGCACACCCCTTCCTGATCCGCCTATGGGCCATGTGGCCAAAGTACTGAGTAAATTCCTCAAATTATCTTGAATTATCATTTGCTGTGAGGGTAGTTGTTACTGGTTTGGCAGGAAGACACTTGCTGGACTCCATGGTTTTTCCTGGACTACTGTGTACCAGGTAGATACTGCCAATAGTGATAAAGCTTGTCACTAGACTGCATGGTAGACACATTCAACAGTGACAAGACTTGTTCCTGGGCTATAGGTAGGCCCTGGCTGCAGTGACAAGGCTAGTCTGTCTCACAATCCCTGAACCATGTTTTGCCTACAGCCTCACCCTTCCTGCAGGGCTAAAGCCCTAAATGAAGCAAGTCTAGATTTCACTAGGTTCTCTGGTCTCCCTTGGGCTCCTCTTCAATTTAAATGGGTTTATTTGTTACAATCAAAATGATATATTCAGAAACTAAGCGATAGTGTATGCGTTAGTCTTTGACAAGGCTTGTTCCTGAACTGTAGGGCAGACACATGTATATACATCTGCTGTGTTGAAACTTCTTCCCTTCCAGTTAAATACTTGTTTTGTTTGATTGTTACCTGAAGGCATACAATCACAGTCTCAAATCTTGCTGATAGGAAAACCTAGTAAGTTATTTGTATGTCACCAGAAAAAAACACCTGAAATGAGATTAGTCTGATAGAAAATAGTATTCAGTAATTACAAACAGACAGTCAGTGTTTGTTTCCCAGGCCCTTTAGGTTACAGACTGTGCCCTAGTCAAGATGTATGCCATGATAAAACCCTATAATCAGGTGTTACGATTAGCACCATGATAATGTTCTTATGAACCTACTTATGCTCTAGTTGCAGTGGGAAGGATTTACTTCCTCGTAATGTCTTGTTACTGGTTTGCTAGGAGTGAAAACATGGGTATATTACACAATCTCTTTAGTTGCAGCCCTTTGTTTGACTGTTGTGTTGCAGAGTTTTAACATGCTGAAATGCAGTTGAGTTTCCGTAATGCTAATGCCTGTGTTGATATCTCAATTACGTTTATGAATAGGATATTTTTCTGTAACCGCTATCGCTATCGCTGTAATGCTATAGCTGAAAGTTGATAAGGTGTATATTTCTAACTGAAGCTTGGGGTCACGTTGTACATGCTGCGAGGTCTAAAAATATAATTATGTGCATGATTTAGTTGGTTCCTGTTTGTGTTATGGTTTGCCCACTTAAGCAGGCCTATGATAACACAGGTGATTTATCATTCAATAATTGTTTAAAAACACTGGATTCCGTCTCAGTATTCATCCCGTTTAATAACTAACTTGATTTATAAGGGAAAACATGAAACATTTTGATCGCCTGGAATTTGGTCTGTTATACAGACCCTGAAGCAAATATATCCAAGAAAGCCCACACAAGTCTAGAAAATGTGGCAAGTCCAGATTTCCGCAGCTGAAATGAAGAAAGTCTCAGGGCTCCTTTTCATTCTAATATATTTTTTTTAACTATGAGCTCTTGTTTGTGTAAAATATGTTCATTTCAGAGACTAGTTGTTCGTCTACCTGGAATAGAGATGCATATATACTTATATGACTAGACTTTCTCTGTGATGACCAGGAGGTCCAGTCATGTCTGTCTTGCTGCTAGACTGGGCAGCAAACTTAATGATGTTATTATTTAGCTCAGTCTCTGGGTGGGATTGCATATTAGCACTGCAGATTGTATACCAACTATCATGTTTGAGAAAACAGTATATTATGCAAATTTGCATGATTTAAGAAATGATAGCATTTGGAAAATGAACTCAAGGTTGACATCACTTGAAAGTCTAAAGTTGTTTATGATAGTTTCCAAGTCTGGTTTAGGAATATTTTACTTTTTGAATAATAAAGGTGTTGGGTTGTTGTTGTTTTTTGTTATATTTTACAGTAATAACTGTTTTGGCTGTAAAATATTTTCATTTGAGAGACTATATGTTGGTAAGTGTTTTGTTTTTGTATAAGTGTTTTGAAAAGGCTTTCTGGAAGCTGTTTTTCACAAATTGAACATGAATAAGCCTTTTGATTAAGCTAATTTGTTCAAGAGAAGTAGGCAGGACATGTATATGGTGAAGAAATCTTCTTGGGGTCACACTCTTACACATAATTCAATTTACTTTTGAATTTTTTGAATTTTTTGAATTTTTTTTTAAAAAGCCGTTTCGCTGCTCATATTGACCATTCTTATGTACTTGAACATGCCAGAATTCCAAAACATGAAAGTGTAAGACAGAAAAATGGTAGTTGTCAACAATTTGAACATGTCTGATAATTTTCATACCAGTGCTTTAAAGATTTCAGTAAATTGAGAATCTGACATTTCCAGGGGGGCAAAACATGGCCGTTATCATACCTCAGCCTTCATAGGGCTTGGGTGGATGTTTTAGAAATGTCAAAACCTTGTGCTGTGAGTTTGAATAATGCAAGTGATCAAATAACAGGTTATTTGTGAACTGTGTTTTGAAAGTTGAACTCCGGTAAAAGCGTGACGACACTTGACACATAGGATATTTTCTCTTGGGAGTTTGTATTACATATACCATAGGCAGTGGAAGTGTTTCATCGCTTGTCTTTAGCATATATCATAGGCAGTGGAGATGTTTCAGGATTTCTATATTACACATGTCATATGATCGGTAAAAAGTGAGAGAGGGAGAGTACATTTACGCCACAGTCAGCAATGTTCCAGCTATATGGTGGCGGTCTGTAAATGTAATCGAGTCTGGACCAGACAATCCAGTGATCAACAGCATATGCATCGATCTACGCAATTGGGATACGATGACATGTGTCAACCAAGTCAGAGAGCCTGACCACCCGATCCCCTAAGTCGCCTCTTACAGCAAGCACCAGTGTTACTGAAGACCAATTCTAACCCGGATCTTCACGGGTCGATAGGTGAAAATATTTCACTTGCATATTTCATATACCATAGGCACTCTGGATGTTTCATAATTTGTGTCTTACACGAACAGAAAGGGCAGTTGATATATCATTTATATATTACACATACCACAAGCTGGGAATTTGTTTTTATATTGCCATGAGATATAGGAGTGTTTTGACAGTTGTATATGACATTTGCCTTGAGCTAGCTATAGGGATATTTTGACACTTGGGTTACAAATGCTTTAAGCTAAAGGAATATATAGTCACTTGGGACAGGATGTTACATGCACCACAACCAGTGGAGATAGTTACAGCATTTACTGACAAATGCACTGGAGTGACATAGCAGTAGGTACAGGAAGTGTTTACATTGAGGCATGACATGTAGTTCAACATTGGTTGACATTTCCCCATGTGAGTTGTCTGATGTCCCCATAACATGCCACTGTCTGCAAACATGGAGGATATTCCTACCAGAAATAGACAGTCAGTCCTTCATGAACAGATCAGTTACACAGCTCGTAATAAAAAGTAGGCATTTAGCAAAAAGTGATATTTCCACAAGGTATTTGTGAATGTATTATGAAGAGTAAGGCATTGTATGAAGAGCATGGATTTGTTGGAAGTCGTTTAGAGGGTGTTACGGTGTTTATCCCATGTGACACTGCTTTTGTTGTGTCAATGAACTGTCTGGATGGCTG